TGTATATTTCTTTATTATTTCATTTGTGTATTATCAAATTATATGTTTTATTGATTTTATGTTGAACAAAATATAGAATAAATCAATATTTTCAATGTTAAATATTCATTATTTATTCTGAAATGTTGTGTATATTTATTATATTAAATGAATATGATGAATAAATATCAATATTATTGTTTATTTGATTTTAAAAAATAATAAATGAATATGAAATGAAATAAAATAATGAAGACAATGAAATGATAATGAAATAAAATAATCTAATATTGAACAAATCAAATAAAGAATATATTGAATATATCATTATTGTTACATTATTATTTGTTATTTCAATTATTAAATATTAATAAATTATTATTCATGAATATTTAATTGATATTTTACATTTTCATTTTCATTTTATTTAATAAATGAAATATAAATAATAAATGAATAATAATGTAATATATGAAATAATAAAAAGAAATAAAAGATAAATAATAAAGAAATATGATGTATTTAATATATAATATAATTTATTATCAAATATAATAATATCAAATGATGATTTATTTTTATTTCAAAATATTTTGCATCAATAAAAATGTTGCTAAATATTTTGCATCATTAAATTTTGCATCATTAAATTTTGCACTTTTTTTATTTGTTTCAATAAAATTTGCATCCTTTATTTTTTTCTTTCTTTTCTTCTTTTATCATCTCTTTTGTTTTATTACTCTTTATCTTCTTTATTTTTATCTTCTCTCCTTTCTACTTTTATTCTTTCTTCATCATATCAAACTTCTTACTTTCTTTTTATTCTTTTATATCTTTCTTTCTCTTCTTTTTCAATTATTTGCTTTTTTATCGTTACCAATAATTGGAATTTCAATTTTTAACATACATTTTTCAACTCATTCTGATTGTTATTCTGTCATATTTAAAGAGATGTTATTCGTTTCTATTTTATTTATAAATTTATAATAAAACTTTCTATCAAGCCAATCATAATACTTTGTGAATGGCTTATAAATTCTAGTGTATCAAATTACATTATCATTTAAAATAAATATAAAGCAATAAAACATTCATAGAAAAACATTCATATTGAATGGTTTCTTAAATAAACAAATAGTATAAACTTTTGATTTCTAAATATTAATTCAAATGAATCAAAAAATTATGAATCAGAGAAGAAAAATGAAAGATTTAGAACAAATTTTTTTTAAAAAGAAGAAAAATACACTTGTTAAAATAAAATCATATTTATTCTTCCTTCCTTGTTTTTATACTCTGAGAAATTATTTAATTTTGAATAAAGGTAATTAAAAGTCTAAATTCTATTAAAAACAAAATAAAGAAATTCAAAATAACAGAACTAATTCCTCTAATACTAATTCTTCTAATAAAAATAACTTCTGTTAAGAAATTCAAACAAATTATCTTTAATTTAAGATTATATTATACAGAATAGTCACAACACACATTTACAGTAAATAACTAATACCCATTTTGTAATAATAATGTTTACGTGTTGAAATACCAATGATAAATACTTTTATTTGAAAATCCATACACAAAAAAACTTTATTTTATAGAAGATTTAAATTAGAAATAATGAAAGGAAATAAATTATTCACGACAAGCTTCAACAAGGAAACGAGCAAATGCTTTATAATCAATATACCCATCAGCATCTGGGTTTGCTTCTTTTACAGCTTCATCTGCTTCTTCATTGGAAATACACATACCTTGATCCATAAGAATACTTTTTAATTCATCAATTGTAATAAAACCATCCTACCAATGTGAGTATTTTGAAGTTTTTTATTATAACGTTATAAAAACAATCACCCCATCATATAAATAATATAAAACAACAAACTTGATCTTTGTCAAAATTATAAAATGCTTCAATTAATTGACTAATTTCGTTTTCAAGCTATATCAATAAGAATATCTTCTCATTTCACTGAAATACATTATTCAAACAAACAGACATTCTTTTTGAGTTTATAGTTTCCATTTTTAAGTTGAAAGGAGTTGAAATAATAATGAAACGTTATTAAAATAGTATAGTGTTATATATAACATAATAATCTCATGAGAAGGTTAAAGTGATGGTTTAAACAAATAAAGAGAGAAGAAGGAAAGACAAAGGTTGTTTGAGAATTTAAGTGGTTGAGGTTAATGATGAATAAATGGTAAGACTCAAAAAAAAGGAATGAAACAAAAAAAAAGGGTAAAAAAGAATAAAAAGAAAATTACTAAAATATAAACAATAAAAAGTGAAGAATGGCTGATATTGAAGAATTAGGAACCATCAAATTTCTCACATATGGATGTTCACATAATGTTAGTGA